GCTTGCTGGAAAATTCCCAGAGATGAAAATCTGGAAGAGTCTGAATAGCCTAATCACTTCCTGGGGTTAAAATTATTGCATGAGTTTTCTTTAGATTCATTGGCTAGCTACTGCCAACTAGCCTGCACAAGAAACAGGAAACCCTCAGAGTGAGAAACACTTCACAGCTGCTGATGGACATGTGTCTCTTATAATTCAACTAGTAATATTTATACCATTCTACCATTCAGGGAGTTATTCCTTAGTGATGGAAACAGGAAGTATGAGAGTTATAGAAGAGGGTGGTCAAAGTAGAGAGGAAAAGTGTACTTGTTACAACAAAAGATGCTTATCACTGGTTAGAAAGAGAACCATACAGGGGCAGCTCGGTGGCACAGTGGATACAGCACCGGACCTGAAGTCAGGAGGACCTGAGTTCAAATGTGACCTCACACCAAACACTTGACACTTACTAGCTGTGTGACCTTGAGCAAGTCACTTAACCCCAACTGCCTAAAACAAAAACAGAAACAAAACAAAACAAACAAACAAAAAAGAGAACCATACATCCTTTGTGAGACGAGATAAAGAAAAGGATGTACCACCTTGGGCTATCAAAAATATTTCCTAGCAAATTGAGATGGAAAGGAAATAGTGGAGGAAGTAAGCTTGATGTAAGCTGATCCTGCAGTACCCTTGAGGCAATACATGGCAAAATGGTGAATATAAAACAAAATGGAGTTAGTTATGTCAATTGTTGAAACATCACTCTTACAAATCAATTTTTAACATGTTTCTGACATGCTGATTTTAAGATGTCTGAGAATATCCACTTTGAAATGTCCAATAGGCAGTTGGTTATGGGGGAATTGCAGGTCAGGGGGCTTTACATCTGTGTGTTACCTGCTTAGAGATAACAGATCCCTTTGGAGTTAAACCAAAGGGAACTGATGAGGTTACCAAGAGACAACCCCAATGGAGAACAGAATTGAGTCAGAATAGACAAAATCCTTGGGCAACACCACAATTATGGGTTGTGATATAGATGATGGGCCAACCAAGGAGACTGAAAAGTGGTCAGGAAGAGAACCAGTCAAGAGTAGTGTCATGAAAACCCAGAGAGTAGGGAGCATCCAGAAGGAAAAGGGGGTCCATTGTGCCAATGCAGCAAATAGGTCAAGCAGGATGAGGATTGAGAAAAGACCAACAAATCTGGTAATTAAGAGATCATTGCTGACTGGAAAGAGCAATTTGAGGCATGAGGTTTAGAAACCAGATTGCAAAGGGTTGAGGAGTGAGAGGAGAGAAGTGGAAAGCAAATTGTAGACAGTTTTTAAAAAGTTTGGTTGATAAAGGTAAGAAATAGAAGATGATAATGCAGAAAAATTTGCATAGGTTCAAACCAAAAGGATGGTCTGAAACTTACCATGCCACTGCTAATTCATGCAGGATTGGCACAGATGATATCAGCCAAAGTTGAATTAAAATCAAGATATACTGAAGGAATAATTGAGAACAATATAATATGCTAAAGAGTTCTGTTAAAAATGAGAGCACAGAAATTTTAAATATATATATCCCTAACAATTTTGCGGGAAAATTTATAAAGGAAAAAACTCAGTCTTGTAAGAAGAAATAGGTTAAAAAAAATCCGAAATTCTTCCCTAGGAACAGGATAATCCACCAAAAGATAAATAATAACTGATTAGAAACAAAGTATCAAACAAGCTTTATCATAGATAAAGAGAACTCAATGGTAAAAGCAAAAGATACATATGTTTTACTTCAAGCACATTTGGGCCATGTACAAAAACTGATTACCTGCTGGGCCACAAAGACGGAAGAATACAGAATACCAGAGATTTTTTTTATTCTGCATTTATGAGTCATATTGAAATAAAGCCAGCAGTAAAGAATGATAATGAGCAAACTAGATGGCACAGTGGATAGAATGCCTGGCTTGCAGTCAGGAATACTCATCTTCATGAGTTCAAATCTTGCCTCAGACATTGTGCTAACTATATGACCTGGGCAAGTCCCTTAACCCTGTTTGCCTTAGTTTCCTCATCTGTAAAATGAGCTGAAGGAAGTGGCAAACCACTTCAGTATCTTTGACAAGAAAACCCCAAATGGGGTCATGGAGAATTGGACATGACTGAAAAATACTGAACATCAACAAAATAATGACAATAATAACTTAATAATGAACTTTAAAACATAATAATGAAATAGTAGTAAATAGTAAATAAAAGTAGCAAATAATAACTTTTTAGGGAGGTGATAGTTACATTGCACATTTTCTCAGGGCTCATCTGGAGAATTATGTTTAGTTCTAGAGCCAGTAAGGACATTGATAAGGGGGAAAGAGTTCAGAGGAGGATACTACTCATCCATGCCTACCCTTCCCTGTGTGACTCACATGTCCTCCCATAAGTTTAACATAAGGATCCACCTAGCCTGTGTGGTGGGGACGGGGAGAGTTCCCCACTTCCTTATGCTATTGTAAAGATACCAGTGAACCAGAAAGGCAGTCCAGTGGTAATACCTTGCTTTTGGCACAGGGCCAAGTTGTTTTTTGATAATACATTTCTTTGATGATATCCTTTACTCCCAAGAATGGCTAAATAAATTCATTGCTTATTGTTAAAACTGTGTCAATAGAATTAAAATGATGATACTACTTAAATTAATTTAGTTCTATACTAAGCAAACTAACAAGGGGATACTTTATAGAACTAGATAAAATCATAAAATTCATATGGAGAAACAAATGGCCTATACTATCAAAAGAAATAATTTTTAAAAAGTAGGAAAGAAGGGATGGTAGCATTTCCAGATCTCAAAGTTTGCTGTAATGCAGAAATCATCAAAATTATTTAGTATAATTATTAAAATGGAAAATTAGATCAGTGGACCATACTAAGTAAGGAAAAGTCAGAAACAACTGACGTCATTTGTAACCTTGGATTACAGTGTTTGATATGCCCAAGAACACAAATTTATAAGATCATTAATTTGGAGCTGGAAAGTACCTCTAAGATCATCAATCAAAATAAGTTTTAATTCCTGGGCAACTCTGGGGTTCTAAAACGTTAAGCCATACCACATTACTAGTAGAATATTGGAATTAAAAGATGTCCCTTCATTTCAAGAAGTTTGGGGTCATTAAAGAAGCTCAGCAGATTTCCCATTCCCAATCTATGCTACTCTCCTCTCCCTCCTCTTAATCCTGGGCTCCATCAAAATAGCACTAGGCAACTTCACAGAATCATAAGGAGATTCATGAAAGCCATATGGAAAGTAGGTAAGAAAGAGACTCAAGAAGAAAAAATAAAGAGATGGTGAAGAAAGGGCTGGTGTTCCCTAATAACTTCCCCTGGCAGCTGGTGATGGACAGTGCCCAGAGTCATGAAAACCTGAATGCAAATCCAGCCTCAGACACTTACTGGTCTGTCACCCTGGGCAAGTCACTTAAACTCTGTCTGCCTGAGTTTTCTGATCTGTAAAATGGAGATAATAACAGTCCCCACATGCCAAGGTGGCGGTGTAGAAGATATACTATTTTTTTAGAAAGGGCTTTCTTTGTAGACTTTAAAACACTAGCTATTGTTATTGCTAGATTTCCAAAGGTAACCCAGAGGAATAGGTATAAAAGCTGCCTTGTACTGGGTGGGTGGGGGGTGTAGACAGAGGAAAAGGCAATGGAACAGAGAAAGGGGTTGGGTAAACACCTCCTCACCCCCCCCCCCAAGTCTGGAGAGGGCCATGGATAGCAGAGCAGGTTGGGCCCGACAAAGTACCATACCTTTGATGGAATACTAGCCACTGCCCCCAACCCCAGCCCCAATATCCCAACTTTCTCATATGCCTCACTAGAACAGCAGGCATGTCCATGAACTCAACCACAACTACCTAGTTTTAGACAAGACCACAATAGCTAGCCAATAGGAAAGCAGCACCAACAGGATGCTGAGCTGGATGTTTGGCTGCAAAAACCACAAGGGGACTTAATAACAGCAAGGAACTATCCTTAGGTGAACTTATGACATGGAAGTGCTTAGTACCTTACATTAAGAAGCCTAGCCCTCTAAGCGGAACACCCAATAAATGCCTTGGCTTGGTTTGGGGATGGTCAGAGTCTGTGAATTCTTTAGAGAAGACTTTGTGACACACCTGGACACCCCAACACCTTTGCTACCCCGCCCACAGGGAGCCTCGAGGGTTGGGCAGCACCAGTAGGAAGATCTCCAGAAGGCCGCCCAAGCCAAGAGCCAGAAGAACACCCCCTGCTGCGGCTGCTTCTCCTCCCCCTTCCTCCCAGCCAGGCGGACCTCCAGCGCCCTTCCCCCCAGATGACGTCACCGGCGCGAGACCGGCCCGATTTCCGGCAACAAACGCCATCCTGGGGCTCCTAGGCTTCATCCCCACCGCCATCTTCCTGTGGGCAAGGAGGTAAGGAGGCAGGAGGGGGAGGGGCCGTCCTCTTCTAGGTGGAGGAGCCAGGACTCGCTTAACACACAGAGCTCCAGGAGAACACTTCCCTTAGAGAGAGAAGGGCTTAAGCATCTCCAGCTGGGGCGCACAGGATGTCATGGGCGCTCGTACGAGCTGTCGCTGGACTACGATTCCCAGAAGCCTCCGGGGCCTCGGGACGTCCGTTTCCTCCGACTACGTTTCCCAGCAATCCGGGCGGCGCTGGTCTCTGGGGACGTACAGCCAGCTTCCTTTGTGTGCTGGACTCTGAGCATTGAGCTCCCTGACTCAGTGAAGCGTTTGGGTAGTAGCAGTGGCTGCAGCGGGTTCGTGTAGTGTAGACCTACGCCCTTTTGTGTAGAGCCAGCCCGGGGCGGAGCATGGACTCTGGTGGAGTCACGTGCCGCCCAAGCCTGTCACTATAGCAACCGCTTGACAGTGTTACCTTTGTCTCTATCACCCCGGGAAATGTAGTCCGGAAGTGTAGGTGAGAACCGAGTCTGGGCCGTGGAGGAGGGGTCGGGGAGGCGGGAGTGTGGGATCATCCCTGGAGTGAGGAATGCCTCAGTTACTTACGAGTTCAGAGAAATCGCCAGATTCCAGTGTCAATTTAGAAGCCTGTGATCTTGACAATTGTGTTTTTGCCTCTGAATGGTGAGTATGGGTATGAAAGAAGTCATAAGCATTTATATAGCACCTACTATGTGCCGCTACAATTATTGTCTTATTTGACCTTCACAGCAATCATAGGTTGTAGGTGCTATTATCATCCCCATTTAATAGTTGGGGAAACTGAGGCAAAGAGGGTCAGTAACTTGCCCAGGGTCACACAGCTAGTGTCTGACGCTGGATTTGAACTGGAGTCTTCCTGACCACAGGCCCAGAGCCGTGTGTGGTACAACAGCTAGTTGCCTGGGCAGTAATCATCAGAGGCAGGATCAGAGCCCAGGTGCTTTGTCTTGAAAGCCAGTACTCTTTCCACTTTACTAGAGAAGTAATCTGGGTACTTCTGGTTCCATTAATCATTTTGTTTTACTTTGGCACATGACTTTTCCTATTTGGGCCTCAGTTTTTCAAATGCTATCCCTCCTCTTAAAGTGCTGCTATTTTTATAATGAAAAAATCAGTATATTCTTTTTAAAAATTTTTTTATTAATTTATTTTGATTTATCAACAATCACTTCCATAAGCTTTTGAACTTTAAATTTTTCTCCTCCTTCCTCCCCAAGATGGTGCAAAATCTGATGTAGGCTTTACATATACATTCCTATTAAACATAAAAATTATCAGTAAATTATGGCTTACTGTTATTTGTATATCATAACAGAGAAAAGATCCAAAATTGCTTAGGAATTATTTGGTTAACATTTTTTAGTGTTATCTTTAAGTGTTTTTTCCTGTTACATTTTACAATGAATTATCCTTCTGACTGGCATTCATTCGTCTACATTCTTAAATAGCATTTATTATTGATGGAATCCTAATAAAGTTGCCCCCAGCCCAAATAGTCTAACTTCCTTTTGGGCCCCACTGAACAGCAGGCATGTCCTGATTTAACTACACAATCTGACTTTAACCACACCAAAGGCCCCCAGACTCAATCATAGGCTTCATTGAACAGCAGGCCCACTGCTCTTTCCTAGCCACTGCTCCTGCACCTCCCCCATCAACTTAATATCCTAACTCCCTTATGCATGCCTCACTGTCTCACTATAACAGCAGGCATTTCCATGTGATGGAATGCTAGCCACTGTCTCTAGCTACCCACTGCCCCCAGACCCATTCCTCATATTTCTAACAAGAAACAGGTGCGACCATGCACTCAACCACAACCACATCCATCTAATCTTGGACAGTACCATAATAGCCCGCCAATCAGAAAGCAGTACCGCCAGGATGCCCAAGCAGGATATAGACCTCCAAAACAATAGAAGGGATTTTCCCTAAGTAGGCATGTGCAAAGTAATAGCAAAAATTGTTCTTTAGGTGAACTCATGACGTAGAGAGGCTTATTATAATATCATTATCTTACATACATGCCCCTCAAGTGGTTTTTTCTGTATGTATTGTGAGAAATTGGATGTGCAATTCCACGGAGGGACCCTTCCCCATTACCTAATCCCTTAACAAACTGCTTCTGTCTTTTTAATATTCATATATTCTGTTATGTAATTGCATCTTAATGCCCATTTAAAAATCCCTGTCTTCCTCTGATAAGTTGCTGGTCCTTCTTGGAACTCAGCCTACTTCATTATTACTCTGTGTTAACAGTGGTTTCTTATCTTAGGGGTTTCCTTGAAGAACTGCTTAAGAAGAATTTCTTTAAAGCATAGACCTCTCTGGAGCTCCTATTTAAAAAAAAAACAAAAAACCCAAAACAACTTATAGAAGCTCAAATGGCTCTAGAATCCAGAGAGACTGCAGCACTGAATCCCCAGAATCAAGCAGGGAAAGAGAGGCTTCAAGTAGTAAAGGTAGAGAAATTAGAGGATTGTGTATGGGGAAAGAAAGACAGCCAGAAGAGGAACAGCCCTTCCACCCAGGAGATCTCCCGCCTGCAGTTCAGGCAGTTTGGCTACAGTGACACCCCTGGACCCCGAGAGGCTCTGAGCAAACTCCGGGAACTTTGTCATCAGTGGCTAAGACCGGAGATACATACGAAGGAGCAGATTGTAGAGCTTCTGGTCCTGGAACAGTTCCTGACTATTTTGCCAGAGGACCTGCAGACCTGGGTGAAAGATCAGCATCCAGAGAATGGAGATGAGGTGATAATCATGCTGGAGGATTTGGAGAGACAGCTTTTTGAACCAGGACAACAGGTGAGAAAGAGGCAGGTGTGATTTATTGTGGGGAAATGGGGTTAGGTTGTCTTTTCTATTAGATTGTGAGCTCCTTGAGAGCAGGCACCGTTTTTTGCCTTTTGTTTCATCCCCAGCACTTAGTATAGTGCCTGGCACATAGTAGATGCTTAACAAATACTAGTTGAGGGACAGAGGAGTGGATGGGCTCAGCAAAGGAGAGGAAATAGCAAAAGCTGAGAGCCAAGGTTAGAGCCTTTGGGGGAGCAGTCTTACATCTGGAGGAAGTGTTGTTAAGCTACAGCCCTCTGCTTGCTTTTGTAAGCCCAAGATGAACTATGGCTTAGACATTTTTAAATGAAGTGCTATTGTGTTTAAAAATGTAAAAACTAACATTAACTCCAAGTGTAGGCCATAGTCTGCCCAGCCCTGATCCAGAAGAGAGTGGAATAGTGGAAGGAAGAAGAGGAATCAAAGGAGAGAGAGAAGATGATTGACAAACAGGAAAATATAAGAGTAGAGTGTCTAGGAATCCAAGTAGGGTGGAAAGAAAGGAAGAGGGAAGGGGGGGAGAAGGTTACCAGTCTCAAATGCTTCAGAGAGATCAAGGGTGACAAATTAGAAGGTGGTCACTAGAGTGGAGACTAGAGAAGCCAGAATAGTATGAAAGAGCTGGCAATGAGGAAGAAGAAAGAATTAATGTAGTTCATTCTTTCTAGAAATTTGACACTGAAGAGGAGGAAAGATGATGTAGTGGTCACTTGAAAGAGGTAGCAATATCAGTAGAAAGTTTTTGTTTTTCAGATAAGGGAGGCTAACCATGGTTTGTAGGTGGGAGGAAAGAGCTTGCTGAGAGATAGTGAAACTTCATAATAATACTAGTATTTGTTGATTGCTTGAAGTTTTGCAAAATGCTCTCTATTCACCTGTCACCTCATTTAGTGCTGACAACAACCCTGTAATCAGTGACCTTCCCAGGATAGATAGAAGTGTCTGAGTCAGGATTCCTCCTCAGATCTTGTTGATTCCATTATGGAAAGGATTATGATGGGAACCAAATCCTGGAGGAGGCAAGAGGGGATGGGGTCAAAATGATAAGTGAAGTTAGTCTTGGCAAAGAGGAAGGCCAGCTGCTTCTTTGGTCTAGGAGGAAGAAAAGATAGGGGATAGAGAGGTTTTGAAGTGAGAAGGAAGAAAGAAGTTGAGGAGGTTTAGGTCAGATGACCTCACTCTTCTCAGGATAAGTAGGAAATGAGATCTATGATTGGGGAAGGGAGTAGGAAGTGAAGTTGGGGATGGGCAAAAGTAAAAAAAATGTGGGAAATAGTATAGGGAGTAAGTTGTAGTGAGGGACCCAGACTGATGTTGGCAAGGTTGTTTTGGACATACTCACCCACTGGCCACAGTTTTTTGACTTTCTCCAATGGCATTCAGTATTTCAAGTCTAGCCAAGTGTTATTCAGGATTGGGGATGGGTCAGTATGGAAAGGGAAAGGGGTAAAGGATTCTGAGATGATGCTTGATGTCATTGAAATAGGTGACCTATGGGGTCTAGCCTGGGTAGAGCCACAACAGCAGTGAAGGTTGAAGGGATAGAATGAACATCATTGTGATTTTGGGCAGCAGGTTTGGTAGGAATGGCAAGGTGGAGAGTTAGATTGTGATCAGAAAAGGGAATTTAAGAGTTGCAGACTTTAGAGTTGGAGCAGTGCCAAATGTTCCTGAAGCCCAAGGCATGATTCATCTAACCTGGTGGCTAAATAAAATAGAATGGGGATGAATGTGGTTGAAGTTGAGGAGGCTGAGAATTCATGAGGTCAGAGTATTAGAAAAGATCCTGGTTTCCCTTTTCACTTGTCCAAGTAACTTCAATGTGCATATTTAAGATCCTGTTATTTTACGGCACTCACAGTCAAATGCAGGAACATGAAAACATATGAAAGATTAAATGACACATGAGCATTGAGTAGCAGCACAAGAAAATACAATATATGTCACATGATTAATTCCCAAATAGGTGGTAATCTGAACTCCCCGGTGTTTCTGGAATTATTGCAGAGGGTTTGAAAATCCATATTCATATTATCGTTTTGAGCTTCAGCGCTAGCAAAATGCACCCTGTGAGTGGTGGAGGGGTCCATAGTTTTTTTCTATTAAAAAGGGGTTCTCATACTTTGCAACTCCTGTGTAGACTGTACATTTTCAAACTCAGTTGAATTAGTCTGACAATATTTCATGGAAGGTAATTAAGACCTTAAACTGGTTCTTACAGGAGAAATATGTGTGTATGTATGTGTGTGTGTGTGTGTATACAAGTATACATACCACATTACAGGCAGAAATAATAACATGAGCAAAGTAAGAAGACCGATACCTGCATACAGTGTTTACAGAATCCTTGACTAGTTTGGGGTAGATTCTTATATTTAGGTTATTGTTTAAGATAAGGCTAGAAATAAAACAGGGTCTTCCATGACAGGCTAAGGAGTTTGGACTTGATCAGTAGCACTGGGGAGCCAGTGGTTTTTTGATGCAATTCTGGTGATGTTGGTGTGTTGATCAGCAGCACTGCGGAGCTGGTGGTTTTTTGATGCAATTCTGGTGATGTTGGTGTGTTGATTTAGTAAAGGGAGATCATTTTAGGAAGCAACTTCCCTTATCCATTATTGAGCATTTCAGGTATTTTAAGTGCTTTCTGTATTCCAGGATTGGTTCTAGGTGATGGGATTACAAAAGCAGATATGAGAGAGTTCCTCTCCTAGGGGTGAGGGGAATGACCAGAATCTGAATTATGGAGGGGGCAGGAGAAATTAGAAAGGAAAAAAAAGTATTAGGAAGGAAAACTCAAGAGGACTTGGTGAATAACTAGATACAAGGAGTTAGGGAAAAAATCAAGGATGACTGAGTTTTTTTAACTGGTTGATTTAATTGCTAGTCTACATGAAAGTAAATGGGATTTCTGAGGGAGAGTGTGGAGAAAGAGTAGAGGACAAAAGCTGAATCCTGGGATAAGCATATTTATAAGTGTACAGAAAAGAACCAGAGAAGAACATAGAGGAACAGTCAGAAAGGTAGGAGAGCAAGAATGGTGTGGAATTACTGAAGCCAAAGGAGGAAAGAGTTTTAGAAAGCTGTCAGGTAGTTATCAGTACCAAATGTGGTGAAAGGTCAAAGAAGATGAAGACTGAGAATAAACATGGAGTGGGAGGGAGGAAATTAATTGAGTATGAAATGTACTGGATTTGGATTCAGAAGACCTGGGCTTGAATCCTGTCTCTTCTACTTAGTAGAGCAAGTCATCTATTAGAGGAAGACCACTGTCTGGTCCTCAGTTTCCTCATCCTGTAAAATGAAAGGGTTGGACTAGATGACTTTTAAGATTCCTTTCAGCTATTATCTTCTATCACAACCACAAGGGAGGTAAGCCCATTTTCCCAGCTTTTGTTCAGTCAGCATATTCCGTATTCTAAATCCTCTTTAATAGACTGTACTGAGAGTTTATGCTTAAGAACAATTCAGTAATGCCACAACATGGTTTTTCATAGTTTCTAAAAGTTAAAGTAACATTATGGATATGGTAGTTTTATTGTATAATTTTTGGTTGATTAACTGTGGTAATCTTACTTTTTTTCCTTTTTCTTTTTTTTTTGTTTTTTGGTGAGGCAATTGGGGTTAAGTGACTTGCTAGTCACACAGCTAGTAGGTATTATTTTTCTGGTCTGAGACTGGATTTGAACTCAGATCCTCCTGACTCCAGGGCCGGAGCTCTATCTACTGTGCCACCCAGCTGCCCCTACAGTTTATTTTTAATTGGTAAAAATGGATAAATATAAATAGGAGTTTTTCCACAATTATTAGAAGTTTTCTTGTACATTCATCTTACTACATCATTCGTTGTTCAAATAGCCATATAATATAATTAACTCAAATTTCAGAAGATTTCCTTTTTATCAGCAACAAAAATTTCTGTTGTAGTTAATTCTTTCATGTGCCAATTGAGCCTTTCTCCTGAAAGGAGCAAACTGTTTAGTAATGAAAAGGAACCTCCTGGGTTGTTTTATGGTTAATCTTAATACAGTCTCTTTAAACCTGACAAACAAAACTCTAGTTCTTTCTCCTCTGTCCTGTATCTCTGGGCTTCCTTTCTGTATTGATGTTTTTGTTTTCATAGTGGTTCCTTTACAACCCTAAACATATCTCGTTATCTCCAGGTTGCATCAAGCACACAGAGAGAGGCAGGGGCCTGGGAGAAGATGGCACCCTTGAGAGCAGCACAGAATGCACTGAATGTCCAGCTTCAGCCTATGAACGCCCAGATCAAGTGTGAGTCTCCAGAGCCCCAGTTCCTGCAAGAAAGAGGTAAGGAGCAAGGGAAAGGAAGAAGGGAGTCAAGAGAAGGTGGGGAAGAGAATGGGGCTTGTTTGTCTGTCAGAATAGCAACTGTAGGGGGCAGCTAGGTGGTGCAGTGGATAGAGCAATGGCCTTGGAGTCAGGAGGACCTGAGTTCAAATTATGCCTCAGATACATGGTACTGTGTGACCCTGAGCAAGTCACTTAACCCTGATTGCCTCGAAAAAAAAAAGAATAGCATCTGACTCCTCACTTTCTTGTCAACAATGATTAAGAGGTAGCGTGATATACAGGATTTGGTATCAAAGGACATTGGTTTCAGTGCTGGCTTTGACAATTGCAATCAATGTGATTTTGGACAAATCATGTAACTTATCTGGGCCTCAGTTTTCTCTTCTGTAAAGTGAGGGAGTTGGAGTGGATCATCTTTCAAATCCCTTCCCATTTAGAATGGGTGATTCCATGAAACTGTAGAGAGATTTTTATTTTAAAGCCCAGTCATTTCAGGTGTTACATTATTTTGCAAATTAGAAAGTCAGAATTGTCACTGTCTTTAACTTTTTAGGGATAAGAGGAAATCATATTCCTGGTTCAATTATCCCTAGGAAATTTTGCTTTAGTGTTTTTATTGACAACATTACAAAGCTATTATAGTGCATTTACTTTGTGCTTTGTTGACATCAAGATAAGTTAAGCAAGCATTTACTAAGCGCCTGCTGTGTGCCATTCATTGTGCTAAGTGCTGATTATATAAAGAAAGGCAAAAAACAGTCCCTGGTCTCAAGAAGCTCACAGTCTAATGGGAAAGACAGCGTGCAAATAACTGTGTACAAACAAGATACATGTTATATAGTGTAAATTGAGGATAGTCAACAGAAGGAAGGCACCAGCATAATGAAAATGAGAAGAGCATCTTGTAGAAAATGTTAGCTGAGATTTAAAGGAAGGCATGAAAATCAGGAGGCAGGGTTGGGGAGACTGTTGCAGTCATGGGAGACAGCCAGTGAAAAATGCAAGGAGTGGGAAATTCATAGTTATGTTTGAGGCACATCAAGGAGGCCTATGACACTGGAACTCTGGTATGTGCAGGGAGTAAGATTTAGGAAGCCTGGAAAGAGGAGAACATTGGACACGGTAGCAGCAATATTGTAACACAGTCAACTGTGAAAGACTGAGCTGTTGTTGTTAATGATCAATTAAAGATCTGATAATTCCAAAACACTCGTGATGAAAAATACTGTCCACTTCCAGAGAGAGAACTGATGAATCCTGAGGGTTTCTTGAAGCATATTTTTTCTACTTTTAAAATTTTTCTTGCTTTTTTTTTTCAACATGGCTTATATGGAAATATATTTTGCATGACTTCAACTTCACATGTATAATGAGTATCATTGCTTGCCTTCTCAACTAGAGGGAGGGGGAGAATTTAGAATTGAAAATTAAAAAATTAATTAAAATAATTCAAAACAAACAAAAGAATACTAGAAAGGTAAGAGGAAGCCAGATTTTTAAAGGTTTTAAGAGCCAGATAAACAATTTTCATATTTCATCCAAGAAGGGCCACTGGAGTTTATTGAATGAAATAGTGCAATAGTCATACATATGCTTTAGGGAGATCAGCCTTACAACTGAATGGAAGATTGACTGAAATAGGGAGGGACTTGGGGCAGAGAGATCAACCATAAGGCTATTGCATTAGTCTAAGCAAGAGCTGATGAAAACCTGTGCCAGGCTAATAGCACTGCCATTGGAGAGAAGGACGCACATCCTAGAGGTGTTAGGAAGGTGAAAAGCACAGGACTTGATAGCCCTTTTGATAGGAAAGCGAGAGAGAGTGAGGAGTCCAGGATGACCCCTAGGTTTTGAGCCTGGGAAGGGGTGCTTTGGGTAGTACTAATGAAGTTGGAAGAAGGGAGGATTTAGGGGGAATAGTAATGAGTTCAGTTTTGGACATTTTGAGCTTAAGATGTCTATGGAACATTTTGTTTAAGATGTCTTATTGGCAGTTGGAAATGAGATCCTGAAGTTCAGGAAAGAGATTAGGGCTGGCTAGGTAGATCTGAGAATCATCCAATTAGAGGTGATAATTGAGTATATGGGAGCTGATGAGATCACCAAAAGAAATAGTATAGAGGGAGAAGAGAAGAGGTCACAGGACAGAGCCTTGGGGGACACCTATAATTAGTGCTGGCCTTGACAAATGTTCAGTGAAGGAGACTGAGAAGGAACAGTCAGGCAGGAGGAAAAAGCAGGAGAGAGCAGTGTGGGTGAAACCTGGAGAGGAGCATGTCAAGGAGAAGAGGGTGACTGACATTGTCACAGGCTATAGAGAGTTCAAGAAGGATGAAGGGTGGGAAAGGTCATCAGACTTGACAATTAAGAGATTGTTAGTAACTTAGGAGAGAGGAGTTTCAGTTGAATGGTGAGGTCAGAAGCCAGACCACAGAGAGGTAAAAAGAGAGAGAGAGTGTGATAGGGAAGGAAGTGGAGGCACCTATTGTAAAAGATCATCTCAAGGAGGTTAGCCAGGAAAGGGAGGAAAAATAGAGAGTGATAGCTAGTGAGAATGGACATGTCAGGTGAGGTTTTTTGAGGACAGAGGAGATGTGGACATGTTGGTAGGCAGCAGGGCAGCAGCCAGAAGATTAAAGCCAGGGAAAGATTAAAGATAAGTGATGGAGTGGGGATGACAGAGAGGGCAGTCTGTTAGAGGAGACAGGAAAGAATGGGATCTCTTGAGCAGGTAGAGGGGTGAGCCTTGGTAAGCTCTCTCTTCAAGAGATCCAGGAGTAAAGCTAATGGCAGAAGACCTGTGAGTGATCTGAGAGGAGGAAGGAGGAGAAAAGAAGGAGGTCTTGACAAATGAACCCAATTTTTTCATTGAAATATAGGGCAAGGTTTTCAATTGAGAGAGTCGGGTCTGGGAGTCATTGGAAGTGTGAGGAGGATGACTAGTTTTAGATAAGGTGCTGCTGTGAGTGGGGTAGTGAATTGATTTAGGAAGTTCAAAAGGAATGCCTTGGTGTAGTGAGGGCCCATTTGAGGTTATGTAACATAAATTTGAGGCAGCTAGCTGGCCTAGTGGATAGAGTGCTGGGCATGGAGTCAGAAGACCTGAGTTCAGATCTTGCCTTAGACACTTTGTAGCTCTGTGACCCTGGGCGGGTCACTTAACCTTGGTTTTCCTTGATCCACTGGAGAAGGAAATGGCAAACTACCCCAGTATCTTTGCCAAGAGAACCCTGCGTGAGGTCATGTAGAGTCAGACACAACTGAACAATAATAACAAAAGTAAATTTGTAATGGACCCACGCAGCATAGTTTCATGATTTTCTCCACCTTCATCCTGCAGTGGGAATGAAGGCAGAGGATGGAGGATGGGAGCAATTTAAGGCCAATTCTTGGAGAGGTCAAGATTAGTGATAGGATAAGAGGGCAAGGGATTCAAGAGAAGAGAATAGAGTAAAACTGATCTGGTTCACCAAAGGGACACAATGGGGAAGGTACCCTGAGCTCCTCTCCTCCCTCCTGCAACTTCCTTTTATGTATTCTCTTCCCCCATTAGAAGTAAACTCTTTGAGAACAGGGACTGTCTTTTGTCTGCTTGTATTTGTCACCCCAGCATTTAGCACCATGCATTCTACTTCAAGGACCCTTAATAAATTCTTATTGACTTGGGAGTCAGGGAGAGAAAGGGAGAGATGGGAAGAGGATAGAAGAGGGCAGAGGAGGGGAGGAAAAGAGAAAGATTCCAGCAAGTTTCTGGACAAATGAAATTCCCTGTTAAAACTGCCTCATTCTAGACTTTTGATCTATTTCCCAAGCTGCTCATTTCACTCTTTCTGCCCAGGTAGTCTATAGTACATTCCATTGACAATATCAATGCTGTTTCTCTGTTTCTATTGAAGAAAAATATCAATACTGTATTTTTGGCACAAATCTTCAAGAAACAATTTAATTTAATATTAAATATAATAACCAAGCTCCTTTTGGCTTGCAGGGAGAGATGTCCAAACTGGCATAGTTCCCCGTGTCCCCCAACAAACTCTTTAGCCCAAGAAGATTTGAGATAACATTTATAGAAATCTGGCACAATGAAAAAAATGTAGATTAAAATTCAGTTTGGGGATTAACATTCTAAAGCAATAGTCACCATTCATCCTTTGTTGGACACTTCCCTTAGGTTGTCTCCTGGGGTCAACTGAAGGAATCCCTTGAGCCCTCCCTGCCCTAAGTATCTTAATCCCTTCTCAGTGGAGAAGGTCAGGTCCAGGCACTATTTGCTGAGGGATGGATCAGTAGCCTGATTAAGAGGTGTTCCTGTTCTAAATTTTGGTTACCACACTTAATCCTTTTCCCTAAGAAAGGCTCTGACCTAACCTACCTCAAACTTGTCTTTCATCTAACCAGGGAGTTTGGAAATGGGTGTTTTTAGGCTAAGAGAACTATTATTTCTTAATCTCTTCAGTTTTACAAAAGAGGAGCTTTTTTTTTTTTTTTAATATATGCTTTCAGGCTCCTCTGCATCATGTTTCTCTTGTTTGGTTTCTGGATTTCCTCACCCAAGCGTACCTTGTTAATATGTCATGATATGCTGCCTTTTCTCTGTCTTGTTGCTTTTGGATAAGGTAGATTCTTGCAGAGCCTGTTACAGGTCTTAGTCTCATCCAGCCAAGCTTCAGTGGTAATGGGGTGTTGGGACCTGGACCCCTTAAAGAAAAAGACCATGTCTTTGAAAGCAACTCAGTACTCAATTTTCCCATACATTTCAGCAACCAAGATCATTGGTGCCTCTATCCAAGGCACCTGGCCCACCCCAGCCCACCCAGATCACCTAATTAGCTTACTGGACATTCCTTTCACTGTTGCACTTGGCCCACCCTAGACTACTTACCACTCCTTAATCCCAACCAGATCCTTTCACTATCTGTTTTGAATATAAGCATCAGCCTCATCCTCATTAGTTTGCAGGTTTGCTAGGGACTTCACCCTATTCTACTAGGGTTACATTAAACTTTGCCATTTGACTAGAAGACATTTTGAGTGTGTGAATTTTTTCCAGGCAACTCTGCCTTGTACCCAGGTCTGGAAAGCCTTTGGAGGAACTCACCAATGAGAGAAGGAAGCTAGCATGGTGGAGGGTTGTTCCAGGATTAAATGGCAGCTGAGGCATGGTGGCAGAGTCCAGAAAGTCAGGAGCAGAGTCAAGAGGATGGAGTGAGGCTTCGCTGGCCTGGGCCTCTCTTCATAATGGAGAATCTAAGAGGAACTCATGGATGGAAAAAGGGAGCTAGTGTGGTGGACAGATATTCCAGGGTGAGAAGACTTCTGGAGTAGGAGTGGATGGAAATTCCAGTTCAGCACTGAGGGAAGATCCAGGTTGTGATAGTGGCAAAGTTTGGAAAGTCAGTTTATGAAAAATGGTCCAGGTCACCAGAATGAGAGCTGTTCCATTATTCTTACCACCCACCTGTTCAGACCCCGGCTGTCCATCATCCCCTCATATTTCCTACTGTTAATGAAAGCTCATTTTCCCCAATCTCCAGTTTTTTAGTACTAGTTTGTAATGTTATTCCTGTTTGGCTGATCCATATTTCCCCCCTTCTTTTAAAATGTTTTGTTGATAATCTTTTTTATCACACTCAGTTCCCAATTCCTTCACTCCCAACCCTCCCTTGTAACTTAAAATGTACAGATGAGCAAGACACAAATATTGGCCTTGCCTGACAATATATGGCTCATTGCATATCTATAATATACCAGCCCTCTGCTGAGAGACACGTGCCTTACCAGCATCACTCCACTGCTCAGAGTTCTGAAATCCTTGAACACTGTTTTCCTTTACATATTAATGATCATGTAAATTGTGCTCTGGAGTTTGCTTGATTCTTAATGAACTGTTGTTCATAAAAGGCTTCTCAGGCTTTTCTGAGTGCTTCATATTGATCATTTCTTATGGCACAATAATATTCCATTATTTTCATATACCACAGTTTGTTCAGTCATTCCTCATGTGATGGGCTCGTACTTCCTTCAAGTTCTTTGTTATAATAAAAAGTGCTGTTATGAATATTTTATATATGAGACCATTCCCTCTGTCTTTGGCTTCCTAAGTTCTCTGATTTGTCTCTTCTTTCTTATTGTCATAGACTGGTTCACTTTTTGTGCTACATTGTCCTTTCTGCCACATACCTCTTGCCTGCCTCCATCACTTGGCACCTGTGTTTTCACCCTTGTTTCCTATTACCATTTCCTCTAGATTGGGATGCTGTTTGTTACAGCTCACTGAAACATGTATAGACTGCATGCATATCTTGCACAACATATTAATTTAATTTTGACTTTTCATTTTCTAAGAGCAATGTGACTTCATCGAAATGGTGATGGATTTAGAATCTGGATTTTAGTTCCAGCTCCACAACCCACTAACTATGTGATGTTGATTGATTTATTTAATCTCTCTTGGCCTGTTTCCCTGTCTATAAAAGAGGATGTTGGAATAGATTGCCTCTAAAGAGCCTTCCCACTCTAAATCTCTTTATCTTCTCACCTCTCTTATCCTTGCTTTCCTAATATATAAAAATAGGATAATCATACTTCTTGCTTATTCAAAGGGTGGTTGTAATAATCACAACAGGTAATGTATGTAAAGGACTTGGAGTTATGAACCCTGGTTAATATTCTTTTTTTTTTTTTGCCTGGGTAATGGGGTTAAATGACTTGCCCCGGGTCACACAGCTAGTAAGTGTTATATGTCTGAGGTCACATTTGAACTCAGGTCCTCCTGACTCTAGGGTTGGTGCTCTATCCACTGTACCACCTAGCTGCACCTAATATTCCTTTTAAGAAGATTCCTTTCTTCCAACACCCATGACATTTGTATTTTCGGTTGATCATTTCAGATTTTGAGACTAGTACCAAGTGGACTCTTCCAAAGCAGGAACTTTCAGAGGAAGAGGAGTCACAAGAGAGGCTATCTGGAAGATTCCCAGTGGATGCTTACAAGGGAACCAAGGTTGGAGAAGCCTATGAATGTGAAGGCACTCTAGACAAGCAACAGGGAAACAAAGTGGAGAAAGTAGAGGGATCCCTTTCTCAGGATGGAAGTTTTGTGGTAGTGACCATCCCTTCTGAAAAAATTCCCTTAGGAGAGAATGGCCATAAATATGATGAATGTTTGTGTAATTGTCATTTGAACTCAAACCTGGTTACACGACAAAGAATTCCAACAGGAGAGAAACTCTATGTATCTGCTACAAATGACCAAAACTCCAGACAGAATTCATCTTCTAATGTGCATCAGAAGAATCAGACTGTCTGGAAACCTTATGAATGTAATGAATGTGAGAAAACCTTTAAGCAGAACTCAGATCTTAGAAAACATCAGAGAATTCATATGGGAGTGAAACCTCACAAATGTACTCAGTGTGGGAAAGCATTCAGTCAAAGCTCTGTTCTTAGGAAGCATCAAAGAATTCATACAGGAGAAAAGCCCTATACATGTGATGAATGTGGGAAAGCCTTCAGGGGGAGCTCAGACCTTATTCAGCATCAGAGAATTCACACTGGAAATAAACCCTATGAATGTAGTGAATGTGGGGAAGCTTTTCGTAGGAGCTCACACCTTGTTCAACATCGAAGAATTCATACTGGAGAAAAACCCTATCACTGTAGGGAATGTGGGAAAGCCTTCAACCACAGCTCTTCCTTTAATCAACATCAGAGAATTCATACTGGAGAGAAACCCTATGGGTGTAATGAATGTGGGAGAACCTTCAGTCAAAGCTCATCTCTTACTCAACATCAGAGAATTCACACTGGAGAGAAGCCCTATGAATGTAAAGAATGTGGGAAACCCTTCAGGCATAGGTCGGCCCTTATGAAACATCAGAGAGTACACACCAGAGTTTAACCTTGTGCAGATTTTGAATATGAGGAATCTTCTGGTAACTTTGCTGCTTCTAAGTTCAGAAAATGCATGAGGTCCTCAAGGGCAGAACCTATGTTTGTGTTACTGTGTATGACTATCACCTGAGTTCCATGTGCCTATGATACCTTTCTTAGGGTTTCTTTGGTGATTGACTAATCTATGTTTCTTGCTATTTGTTATTTAAAGTATTTACTGTTACTGTTGTCAATAGTTATCTTCTAAGGGGGTAGGTATATGATTTTTGCCTCTTTAGAAAGGATGGAATTCATATCCCAGGAAAATGAAGATTGTACTTCAGGGGATCAGTGCAGTTTTGGGTGGTCAGTGCCCCTTCTTCAGGATGTATAATGTAGGCGTCTGAGTTCTCTGAAATGAATTGGGGACAATTTTTTAAGAATGTCTAAGTAGACAGTTACTGGCCTAGAGGATAGTACGATGACAACTATTTATGGTTCACAGTCATTTTGACCTATATCTGGGAAGAAGAGACTGGATCTTGAGGCAGGTAGAAAGAGCATTCAGCATAATAATAGTCCTGATGTCCGTTAATGATTACCACTACCACCCCGCTTCTTCCCTTAGCCAGAAGTCACCTTGTATCATGACCACTCAGGCCTTGAGGTCTCTGTCCTGAGAACTACACTCCTCAGTCTCTCTGGCCCATTGTGACATCTCATTTCCTTACTACATTCTTCAGGGAGAGAGTATGCCTTAACCACTGTCTTATACCTTAACCCATTTTCTCTCATGTTAGTGCTGAAAAACCATGATTTAGAAGAGCAGTTACTGACTTAGTTCCTAGAATAGGTACCTAGTCTATGGATACTTTAGGCCCTTGTGCCTCTGAGAAGGCAGAGAAAATTCTGTTCAGCTTCTTAGTCTCTGAAAGTCCCGATTTTCCACAGTGCTGTGGGTTTGGCTTGAGTGACTTAATTTTTCTCCTGATTTGTGACTCTATAATAGACTTTTCGAACTATAGTGTTGGAAAGAGATTTTACTTTGTACCTTTCTTTGATCAGTCAGTGCCCTGAAAGCTATTGCTACAGAGGAGTGGGTGCATAGGTATGCAGTGTGCATGTATGTGTTGCAAGCACATGTTTATTTTTGTTGGCTACCCAGTGTTTTTTTTCCTTTGTGACCTCCTTTCCACAGCCTCCCATAAAAGCTTATGCATATCCTCATTCTGAACAAGGTAGAAGAACTTGTCTTGGCATATATCTATCTATCTATCCATCCATCTGTATCTGTATAGATATAGATATAGATACATATACATAGATAGATTTAACTTGAATTGTCTCCTAACATCAGAATATGTTACTGCTCTTCAATACATCCTGCTTTATGACACCAGATAGGGGGATGTAGCCTTGGGAATTTGGAAGAAAGTACTTTGATAACTGTACCAACAGAGCTCAGCTTGGACAAGCTATGCAGCTCAAGGATAGGCCAGCAGCATGGATGCAGTGGCAACTGATCAGTCAGGAACTCAAGTGTGGAGAATGGACAAGGGGCCAGCATCCCTTCCACTAACTTAGGGAAATGGCATCACAGCCATTTTGTGATGGAATGGTCAGCAGTCTCTGGATATAGAAATATTTCTTTTAGACCAATTAAACCATATCATTAGTCCCTGTCCAGGATATGAAAATGCCAAGCAGTGGGCCAAAATAAAAAGACTAAAACCCTAAAAGGGTTATGGCTCCAATCCTCGGTCGCTATAGAATTAGAAGGAAGCACCATAGTTTTTGGATGGTAGGAGAGAGGGTTGTTGGCACCTGGACTATATAATAAGGACTGTGAGGCCTAAGGTAGAGATAGGAGGGAAGGTAGTTTGATCCTAAGGACTATTAATCTAGCTCCTGGACATAAAATGGTATGATACATATTTTATTTTTATTTATTTCTTAATTTTTTTATTCATTTTAAACTTAAATACAAAATGAGAAAAGAAAAAAAAGAGAACAGTTCAATGTACACAGCAGAACATAAGATTCAGTACAAAACTATACATTTTCATTTCAAGAAAACCTATATAATTGATACTACACATTGTCTTCAAAGCTACCCAATTTTTCTTTGCTCCCTTGTAGGTTTTCTTTTGTTTTCTGCTGTGCACTTTTTACTTTTTTTTTCCCCTTGCTCCCCCCCCCACCAAAGAAAGGCTACAATTCAACCCCGATACACGTATACATACACACACAACCCTACGTAGATATCTATAAACATACACATACACTCATACACATATAAGTAAGATGGTACTATGCATATTTCCACTTGTCATCTCTTTCTCTGGAGGTAGATAGCATCTTCCTTCATAGGGCCAAGTCTTTCCATGTTTTTTTCTAAATCAACCAGCTCATCATTTCCTGTATCACAGCAGTATTCCAACACAATCACATCCTATCTAAGAGATTGTCCATCAGAGTTTTTTCCCAATTTTCTGCATTATTCAAAATAATCAAAATTCTCACCTTATAATATAGTTTAAGAGCTGATATTGCTGAATCTCCTTCCTTTACCTCTTTTTTCCTTGTTTTGTCTTTTTGAAATTCCTGATCTTTTGTTATTCCAAATGAACTTTGTTATTATTTTTTCTAACTCAGTAAGATAATTTTTTAGTAATTTGATTGGGATAGTTTTGAATAAATAGATTAGGTAAAATTGTCCTTTTTTATTATATTGGCTTTGCCTGCCCATGAACAATAAATATTACTCCAGTATGATACATATTTTAGATAGTGGATGAACCTGGACTGGCCAGGCCTCTCCAAAGGCAAGTGAGTTTTCTGTGAAGAGAATAGGTGAGCCATGAGATAAGGGTAGGACTTGAGACTGAAAGAGGCAAGGAACCTATAAATCTTAGAGAAGTCATAGAATTCCTGAGCCTAAGAGTTTGGCACTTTAGAAAGTAATCTTCTGTGGATTTGGCTGAGAATCCTCACTACCATATCCATGATAAGCACTGAGGACTTTCAGTCTGAGGCAGCCCCTTCTAGTTTGGTATATCTCTAGTGTTAGGAGGTTTGTACTGACATCAAATGTAAATGTGTCTGCGATTCTGCCCCTGAGGCCAAGCAGAGTAAATCTAATCCTTCTTCCACATGACAGACCTTCAGATACTAGAAGACAATTATGTTCCTTCAGCAGATCCTCTTGGGCTTCTTCTCCAGTCCTCTGTTTTGGTGCCCTCTTCTGGGCGTGCCACATCTTTTCTAGGTCCTCAGAACCACAGTAGAGGCGATGAGCTTAGGCTGTCAGGATTTCATTCTTTATCTGATACAGCTATGCTGGCAGCTAGAATTGAACAGAATATTCCGGACGTGGTCTAACTAGACTCAAGGGCAGCAGAACCTTTTCTCTCCTGATTGATGCTGACCCTGTCAGTGAAGCTTAGTGTAGCTTTGGCTTTTTTGACTGCTGTCATAGTGCTGACTCCTACTGGACTTGTGGTCTACTGAACCTCCAGATTTGTGTGTGTGAACTGATCCTTCCCTTCATCTTATTTGACTCAAGCCATTATGTCATCTTGACAAACTGGTTTTTGTAAACTAACTCTTGTCACCCAGCAGGCCACTGTCTTGGCCTCTCAGTTTGGCCTCAGGGGCAGAATCTGCAGACACATTCACATTTGATGTCAGTACAAACCTCCTAACACTATTCCTCTGCCATCTACAAATTTGAGAAACATAGCCTCTATGTCTTGTTACAAAGTATTGACAACGATGTTGAAGAATTTAAGGCCAAGGACAGATAACTGAGACAGTACGATGGACGTCCCCTTCCAAGCTGATGATCCATCAATGGCTACTCTTTGGGTCAGTCAAATTCACTTCACCATACCATTACATAGCTCTTACCTCGCCATCTTGTCGCCAAAGATAACATGAGAACCATTGTTACATGCTTTAATTAAATCCAGCTGTTCCAGTAAACTGCATCTACAGCCTTCCCCTGTTCTACAAGTCTAGTTACCTTCAATAGAGGCAGTGAGTTTAAGCTGGCAAGATTCTGTTCTTTATTCTCTCTCTCTCTCTCTCTTTTTTTATTAGTGAGGCAATTTGGGTTAAGTGACTTGTCCAGAGTCACACAGCTAGTGTTATGTGTCTGAGGCCGGATTTGAACTCAGGTTGTCCTGACTTCAGGGCTGGTGCTTTAACCACTGTACCATCTAGCTGCCCCCTGTTCTTTATTCTTGATAAAGCTATTCTGGCTTTTAGTGATCTTTGCTTCTCATTCTCAATGCTTGCAAACTATCTCTTTAATATTGTTTTAGAATATTGTTAGGAATAAATCAGTCTCCCAGTGTGTTTTTTTCTTTTTTTGTTAATTTATTTTGATTTATCAAAAATCACTTCTATAAGCTTTTGAGTTTTAAATTTTTCCTCACCTCCCTCCCCAAGACGGCACAAAATCTGATATAGACTATACATATACATTCCTATTAAACATATTTTCACATGAGTGATGTTGTAAGGAAGAATTAGAACCAATAGGAGGAACCACCAGAAAGAGAAAACAAAACAAAACAAAACAGAAGAAAAAAATAGCAAATAGTATACTTCAATCTGCATTCAAACTCCATAGTTCTTTCTTTGGATGTGGATAGCATTTTCCATCATGAGACCTTTGGAGATGTCTTAGATCCTTGCATTGCTGAGAAGGGCTAAGTCTATCAAAGTTAGTCATCACACAACACGGCTGTTACTGTGTGCAACATTCTCCTGGTTCTACTCACTTCACTCAGCATCAGTCCATACAGGTCTTTCCAGGTTTTTCTGAAGGTTGCCTGCTCATTATTTCTCATAGCATAATAGTATTACATTACATTCATGTACCACAACTTGTTTAGCCATTCCCCAATTGATGGGAATCCTCTCAATTTCCAATTCTTTGCTACCACAAAAAGAGCTGTTATAAATATTTTTGTACATGTGGGTCCTTTTCCCATTTGTATGATCTCTTTGGGATACAGCCCTAGAAGTGCTATTGCTGGGTCAAAGAATATGCACATTTTTATAGCCCTTTGGGCATAGTTCCAATTTGCTCTCTGAAATGGTTGGATCATTTCACAACTCTACCAACAATGTGTTAGTGTTCCAATTTTCCCACATCTTCTCCAATATTTATCATTTTCCTGTTTTGTCATGTTGGCCAGTCTTATAGGTGTGATGTGGTACCTCAGAGTTGTTTTGATTTACATTTCTCTAATCAATAGTGATTTAGAACATTTTTTCATATGACTATAGATGGCGGTAGATAGAGCACCAGCCCTGGATTCAGAAGGACATGAGTTGAAATCCAGCCTCAGACATATAACACTTACTAGGTGTGTGACCCTGGGCAAGTCACTTAACCCAATTGACTAACCAAAAAAAAAAAGAAAAGAAAAGAAATGAGGCCCTTATCAGAGGCACTGGTTATAAAAATTCTTTCTCAATTTTCTACTTTCCTTCTAATCTTGGTTGCATTGGCTTTGTCTGTGCAAATGCAGTGTTGTTTTTGCAGACTCCAATCTCATCTCTCTTTTGAAAACCAGGCACATTTGCTCTTTTCTTTCCCATGACACTCATTTCCAACTTTATAAACAGATGACAACTGGAAGACTGATCTTAGATAATTTAAAAATCATTGTTGTCATGCAGATTTATGGTGAGTTCTGGTGAATGCATCCTAGGGTGGATTAAAATGTTTTATGACTCAGCCCAGCACATCATAGAAAGGTTTGGGCAGATTAATAGAAATTCACTCACGGATGGAGTCCCAGGTCAGCTCCTTCACCTCCAAAATTATGCCCCATACTAGGGCAGCTTGCCAAGTGGTGGCCCAGAGAAACAAATGTGAGTCCTGGTCAAAGGCATGTGCCTGGGTTTATATAAGGTCTTTAGATAAAGTGCCTGCTGGGGCAGCTGTCACGTTGCTGCTGGGGTGATAGGGTCAGGGAACATGGACCAGTAGCAAAATTAGGGGTTTCTAAAAACTAACCAGGAAGGTCAACTCAGGGTGAGAAAGGTAGAATTACAACTGCTGCCTCAGCAAGTTTGTGGAAAAGTTTCAGCAGCCAGTTCTAACGAGAACTTTGTACAGTTAAGGTTTAATTTTACTAGCATTGTGTAACAGGTTTCAGGCCTTCAAAAATAGTGCCATAGAGTCTATGCTGCCCATTTCATTGTGCTCTCCCCAAAATGTGGAAAAAAAAAAAAAAGTAATCGTGTAAGTGAATTTCTCAGAATCATTGGAAAAGGGATGGACTGCATATGAGACTTCTACCAGAATAAGAGGTGATTTTACAAGCAGATAATCAGTAAACAGTCACCTATCAAGGAACACCAATTTGAATTGTACACAATTTTTCACCTAAGATGAGACCAGACAGAGTTTGAATTTATATGTCACAAATCAGGGGAAACTGCACTCTAACTCAAGACTTCTTGTACTATTCATGAAACTGCACATACTATTAAAGGTTCCCTTACCCCTAAAAATGGGTATTCAGAACACCTACAACTAAGAATCTCTACTGGAAAAAGCAAGCCTCCTTTGAGAATTTGATATGAAAAGATCCCCAGAAACAACTTCAACAAGTAAATCCTTGAAAAAACATTACAACTATGAATGACAATAACAATGTAAATTCTATGTTGGGTTAGCAACACAGCTGTAAGGCTATCACATTCAGTTAAAAAACCTCAAAGAAATGACCTTGAGTAGAATGGCCAGAAGAAAAGAGGCCACATTTGGCTTGGACCAATTGCTGTGTCAATCAGCACAAAGCAAGACTGGAGCAAGTTCAAGCCTAAGCATGTATTCAAACTATGGAGAGTAAGAATAGGCTCCTGGAGGGCAGGAACTGTTTAGTTTGTTTTTGTATTCATGGTGACTGACACATAGTAGGTGCTTAATAAATGC